CAAAGTGGGGGAATGCCTCGCTCAGAGCACGGCCCTCCACAACATCCAACTCCATACAACCTTCCCTAAAACAGATATTTGTAGTTATGTATATTTAAGAAATATAAACCAAGTGTTAATATTGAATGTGGATGGCTACAAAGGTAGAGGAAGACCGAAGTATGGATGGATTGTGTGACAGAGGATATGCTTAAAGGAGTGGGTTCAGATATGACCGCTAATAGAGATGTATGGAAGAGCAGCACATACTGTGTTGATCCTCCGTAAGGGATAAGGACACGTGGATGATGATACATTTAAGAAATATATAAATTACATAGTGAACAATTATTTCACTATTTCGCCGGTAACTACTTTGTAAGGCACTATGTTAATTGTCATGTTTAGTAAGCCACCTAATATCCTTGTATCACAAAATAAAATATAAACAATTAGAACGATTTTCAAAATCGATCTAATATTGGGTGGAGATATGCGGTAACACATAAAACACGATTTAGTGGTGAAATTTAAAATAGATAAGTAGCCTATGTGTTCTTCCAGACTGTTCTGTACATGTATGGCAGATATCCTCGAAATCCAATTAGCTGTAAAAGTTGTAAATTCAAACAAACATCCATCCAAACTTTCGCGTCTATAATATTAGTAAAGAATTCAAGATTTGATTTACCATTCGACTAAGAAATATAATGTTCCATGGAATAGTTGACCAGCGACAATCTTCTTTGGTGCCAATCCTCGACTGAGACCTCTTGGTTTTTCAACTTCCTAAATATCAAAAATATGCATGCATTCATTTAGAATGTTTTCTTTTAATACAGCTAATTATTAAAAAATACACACTAAACATATGAAAACAAATCTTACAAATCACAAAGTTTTGACTCAGATGTAAACAAATGTTTTTACTAAAAATAATTAATGTTCTCCAAGAAGCATTTAATTCATAAAAAAGACTGACAATTACAAAAGTCAATTCACTTTTCCTTCCCATCGTTTCTTCTTAAGAAAAGGGTGTAAAGGAATAGGGACCAAAGTTAGGTCTCCGGCACACCCATCGGACAAAACGCGGAATTGCTTTATGTCTGTCTTCTGTGTGGTCGTAGTATTGCACCGGATAAGCCAACCCTAAGAAGATGTTAAAGAGGGTTCTACCACTGTTAAAGTGTGTAAATATACATTAACAAAACTAGCAAGATATGTATTCAAAATTAGGTATTCATATATTCTTTACATGCATCAAATTTTTGAAACCAAGTAACTATTAAAAATGTTAGTTCTGTATATATAAAAGTATATATCATAAATGTATTGGAAAATAAAAATGTGTTAAGAATCTCACTTCAATCTTTTTTTTCTTGTCAGCTCTGCGAGAACGTTTTCTCGTTGGAGTGTCTTCTACAGACTCTGTCACATTAGGTACTGCCTCTCTTTCTCTCTTCAGTCTCGCCTCTTCATATGCTGAAATAAGTTCCGGACAATCCAGATTGTCTTCCGGCTCCCAGGTGTTGTCTTCACTGGGGAAACATTGTGTAATCATTAGGCATATAACATTTACAAAAAAATAGTTTTTATTTCAATATACTACAGTTAGTAGTACTCTATAATTATTTATTAAATTCATTTCTTTGAAAAAACAACTAATATTTTAAATCTTTCTATACTAATTACTATTTGTATTAATCACTGTATGTGAACACATGTTTCTTTATTATGTAGGATAACTGTGATTACAGCATATTTTTGAATAATCCTTTATTTTATTACTACTTGGGGCTGAGTAGTTTTTAAGATTGTTCTTGCGAGACAAGTACAAAAAAGAATAACAACACTATCTGCAAAAGGAGGTTATCTATGGGCAGCGGTCACTTCACTAATTTGACAAACCTGGTAGCTTACTTTTTACCTTATCATTAATAAATATCACAATAATCCACTATTGTCATTTACTTACTCAGAATAGCCTTTCCATTTTAGAAGATATTCAACTTTCCCATTTTTTATTCTTCTATCTAGGACCTTTTCTACTGAGAATTCTTCATGTTTTCCTGACTGTGGGCCACCAGGCGCAGTTGTCGGTGCAACACTTGGTATTGCTTCATTGTCTGTCTCTATTTGATGACTTGTTATAACTGAGTCAGTGCCAGTAAAGTCAGTTTGCGGTAATTCCATTTCTTGATCCATTGAGAAACTGAAGTTAAATGAACATGGATTATTACTCAATTTTGTCGTCTTTGTTAAATAAAACCCTGACAAATCATACAGATTTAGTGTAGCATAACAAAAAACAATTAGTTGAGTCGCTGAATTGCTTATAGTGTGTTAATTGTGAATACTGTTGAGTGGATGCCGCTCCTTCATTGCTTTAATAATTTATAGTATTGCAGTTCAATAATTTGTGTACTTTGGGAATACTTAAGTTATTACATACCTGATGTACTTGACAAAGTTGTGTTAATAAGTTCCTCGGCTAAGATTGACTAAACTAAAA